GCAGAGCCGGGTGCCCCCACACACTCACTGTTCGCTGGAGCTCAGGACTGGCTTGTTCTCCACCTTGTACAGCTTGTCCACTTCGTGTTGCTGCCAAGAGAAGCCAGTAAGACAGGGGACTCAGAGAGCTTGGAGATCAAGAGCAGGGCACAGAAGCAGGGAACTTGGGCTCCCATTCAGGCTAATTCTGGGGATCAACCTGCCTCCCTGACAGCCGTTCACCAGACCTTCCTCAAACTTGTCCACAGGAAAACCAAAAAATAAAGCAATTCAAAAACAACAGACAATAGAATCCATTCCGACTACCCTCTATTTAGCCTACCACATTAGTCACACTTCAGTAATCTGTACTGTTCATCAAAAGAAAAACTGGCCAAAACCAGTGTGGCTCAGTGGATAGAGCGTCGGTCTGCAGACTGAAAGGTCCCAGGTTCGATTCTGGTCAAGGGCATGTACATTGGTTGCAGGCACGTCCCCAGTGGGGGGTGTGCAGGAGGCAGCTGATCGATGTTTCTCTCTCATCAATGTTTCTAGCTTTCTATCCCTCTCCCTTCCTCTCTGTAAAAAAATCAATAAAATATATTAAAAAGAAAAAAGAAAAACTGGCCAGGCTGGCATGGCTCAGTGGTTGAACCTATGAACCAGGAGGTCAGGGTTCGATTGCTGGTCAGGGTACATGTCCGGGTTGTGAGCTCAATCCCCAGCGAGGGGCATGCAGGAAGCAGCTGATTGACGATTCTCTCTCATCATTGATGTTTCGCTCTCTCTCCTTCTCCCTTCCTCTCTCTGAAATCAATAAAAAATATATTTTAAAAAAAGAAAGAAAAGACTCCGTGGTTGGGTCACATTCAGACTTGGGGTCCACTTGGACCCCAGACTCTTCTCTGCTGCCCTCACCACAGCTCACCAAGGAGAAGAGGATTTCTCCTTCCTTCAGTGACCCAGTCTGACCTGCCCTGGCCCATGATAACCTTCTTGCTTTGAGAGTCACCTGCAGAATCCTGATACCCACAATGGGCCAGGCCTAGGGAGGACTGTCTTAGGGGCTAATAAATTGTTTCAGGGGAAGATCCCCCTAGATTGTAGGGGCGAAGTGACTTTTGAGTGGTTTTAAAGGGGTCCACATAGTTTTCTAGCAAATTGGTCCACACATCAGGGGGCTGAGGTTGAACAGAAGTTGCAATAATGGTTCCCATCCATCTAATAATAATAATAATAATGATAATATTGAGAATTGAGACTTGCTATGTGTCAGGTACTTAAAAAATGAAGGAAGGAAGGAAGGAAGGAAGGAAGGAAGGAAGAAAGGAAGGGAGGAGGGAAGGAAAGAAACCGAAACCCGTTTGGCTCAGTGGATAGAGCGTCGGCCTGCGGACTGAAGGGTCCCGGGTTCGATTCCGGTCAAGGGCATGTACCTTGCTTGCAGGCATATCCCCAGTGCAGGGTGTGCAGGAGGCAGCTGATTGATGTTTCTCTCTATGCCTCTCTCTTCCTCTCTGTGAAAAAAAAATCAATAAAATATATTTTGAAAGAAAGAAAGAAAGGAAAGCCGTTGAGTGAGGAAAGAATCTGCTGCAGGAACGGGCAGGTACCTTTAGGATGGAGACGCTGGCGATTCGATCCAAAGGGCTCATGAGATCCGCCTCAATGAACAAGTCCTTTTTCCCTGGAAGCTGAAGACACACAGAACCTTGGGTCACCCCGAGGTCACACACGCTCCCTCAGCTGCCAGCTCACACGGCCACGTGTCTACCAGAACCCCAGTTACTGCCCTCTGGTTTTCCTCCCTCCAATGCTTCATTTTGGGCCTGCCACAGAAGATCCAAGGACAATACTAACGACCAAGAACAGGCTCCAAGGGATTAAAAAGAACTGTGTGGGTGCAACCACTGTGGAGAACAGTATGGAGATTCCTCAAAACACGGAAAATGAAACTGCCATTTGACCCAGTCATCCCACTCCTAGGAATATATCCCAAGAAACTAGAAACGCCCATCAGAAAGGATATATGCACCCCTATGTTCATAGCAGCACAATCTACGATAGCCAGAATTTGGAAACAGCCTAGGTGCCCGTCAGCAGATGACTGGATCAAAAAACTGTGGTACATCTACGCAATGGAACACTATGCTGCCATACAAAAGAAGGAATTCTTATCATTTGCAGCAACCTGGATGGAGTTGGAGAACATCATGCTGAGTGAAATAAGCCAGTCAATGAAAGAGAAACACCACATGACCTCACTCATTTATGGATAATAAGGAACATCATAAACTGATGAACCAAAAGATAGATATGGAGACAGTAAAGCAACAAGCAGACTGTCAAATTACAGCGGGGAGGGGAGGGAGATCTTGGGGAGATAAGAGATGGACTTGTATACATGCATATAAGTACAACCAATGGACACAAAACTCTGGGGAGGGAGGGCATGTAGGGGATGGGGGGCAATGGTAGGATATGAAGACAGATAATAATTTAATTAAAAAAAAATAACATGATACATAAAAACAACAACTGTGTCCGGTGCGTGCAGTCAAGGGCCCGGCGTGGCGGGCACTGACCTGCTCCAGCAGATAGATGAGCTGGTCTCGGGCCAGCCTCTTGAGCATGGAGAAGTCAGGCAGCTCTGGGGCGTCCGGCCGGTGGTGGAAAGCCATGGCCGCGGTCACCTGAGCCGCGGGGAGTACGACGAGGGTCGCCCTCGGCTCTCCGCAGGCCGGCGGCAGCCCAGGGTGGCTCCTTCAGGGCTGGGCACGGAGGGAGGGGCCCTCCCACTTCAGCTGCGCTCGAGGAATGAATGGCCACGTCCCGGCCAGACAGCGGCAGCTTTGGGGTACCCTCGCCTCAGGCCTGCAGTCCCCCCCACCCCACTCCCACCCCTACCCCCCAAGTCCCGACCCGGCACTCCCTGCTCCACTCCGCCGGTGAGCAAGCAGGATTCCGGGATTCCCTGCAGCAGAGAGAACACCGCCTTTCTGACAGGCAGACGCGACTTCCGGGACTTTCCGGAAGTCCCATTCCCAGGACAGGCGCTTTGCGTACCGGGAAGTTGGACGGCGTCCGGGAAGGGACATTTTAAACAAAAGTCAACGCGTCGACGTTGCAGTCTCATTTCTGGCCTGCGGGGGGAGTGTTCCCATGATAAAACTAGTATTTTAAGGGCGTATTCCATTCTCCAGGAGCACCCACGCGGGGGTTGGGCATTAGCTCGAGTTTCTCATCTTTATTACAATGGGTGAAACCTATTAAGGATGAATGAAGGGTGCTGATCATTAGGGATCTTGACTGTCAATCAAACCTACTCCTCTTCAGCTTTGGGCGAGTTAAAGGCTCTCAGGCTTCCGAGCTGCAGAGAGATGCGGACAGATGGAAGTGGAATTGGGTGGAGGTAAGAGGAGAATGCTAACTCCCGCTGACTGCGACCTTTGGGTACTGGAGTTTTGACTCATCCATGCCAATGGGTAAATAAACTGTGGCATGTTCATAAAAATAAATGAATATACGAAAGCAACCGGAACAAGTGGCATCTAGTATGTCATTTACGTGAAGTTACAGAACAGACCCAACTAATTTAGGTTGAAAATTTTTCAGAAAAGTGATTGACTTCGGGATGGTAATTGACTAGAAAAAGAATTTAGGGGATTTTCAGGGGTGATGGAAATTATGTTTTGTGGGGGAAGCTTTTGAGAGACTTAAGGAATAGAGCTGCTGAACTCACTAATCAATTATCACATCACATCCTTATCTGGTGATAAGAGCATCACCCATTGCCAAAAACTGAGACTTGATCAAGACTCAAGACCAAGCTATCAATTGGTTCATAGGAAATAGAGGGTAGTGACATGTTAGAAGACATCATAAGGATGAAATCAAAATGCAGGAAATTTTATGGGATAACCTGTCAAATGGTGAGAAAATGGAAGTGGAAGGAGTAACCACTTTAGAGACTTCTGGAACATGTCAACATAATGCAATGCTACAATGTGGACCTTGTTTGGATCCTAATGGGAAGAAATAAACCATAAAAACTATTTTAAAAACAATCAGAAAATGCTATCCGGCTATTAGTGGCAATTAAGGAATTACTAAAATTTAACACATTGTGGATGGATCACGAGAATTCTTGTTTCATATTAGTGTTTTACAAAGTATCATACTTGAAAAAGATACTGTAAGAACATATAACTTAAAAATACAAGGGGTAATTTAAAGCATGCCTTTAACATTTATGTAAAACGCTTTTTGTACTTGTTCAATAGAAATTTATCTGGCCACTGGTAAAACTAGCAATTGGTCCGCAGTGTTGGCTTATATATCTTTGTTAAAAAGGAGTCCTTAGGCCCAGCAGGCATGGCTCAGTAGTTGAGCATTGACCTATGAACCAGGTCATGGTTCTATTCCCAGTCAGAACATATGCCCAGGTTGATGGCTCGATCCCAAATGGGGTATGCAGAAGGCAGCTGATCGATGATTCTTGCATCATTGATGTCCCTCTCCCCCCACCTCTGAAATCAATAAAGATTTTTAAGGGTCCTTTTGTCTTTGAGATACATAAGTACTTATAAATAAGATTGAGACTGGTCATTTGTTAAATGTAACCCGTGTGATAGGTACACAGTTCATTGCATTACAATACTCTTCCTACTTTCCTAAGTTTGAAAGATTCTGTAAGATGAAGCAAAAAATTTTTGTGCTCACTGAGCTTGTCTAGAATTTTATACCGACTTTCCCCCACCTCCCTTTGATTGAATCTCAGCTGCAGAGGTGGAGGCTTCCAATACATATTACCCCTCCTCCCCCCAATTCCCCAAGCTCAGGGACTTAATTCCCTTGTTATCCAGTTTGCCAGGCTCTTGGGCTTAGACTCAAGGTCTCTGCTGGAGTTTCCTTTGACCTTATCTCCCTCCCATAAGGACAATAAACCCTCTTCCTCACCCCTTCCCTAAATCTTCAGATTCACAGGTAAACCCTCCCACCCCACAGAGCACCCATCAACAGACTGCTACATTTCACTTTATTTGCAAAATGAATACAAATGATTAAGCAACTCTAGAACTATTAGTGTTCATGAATCAAGAAGTAAATGTCAGAAGGAAAACGTTTCAATTCCTCCCAAACTCATATTGCAAATACAACAAACTCCTAACACATGCAACCCAGGCTGGTTTCAACATAGAAAGCGTAAGCAAGAAGGGTGAGGACTGAAGATACATGTGGGCCAGACCAGGAGCCACGCTACCCCCCGCCAGTTATTCACGCTGCCCGCACATACACCCGCCCTGTGAAGTTCACGGTCCCTTGTCAGATTGAAATCCAAGCAGCTCCTTCCGTTTTCAGGCTCATCGTTTCCAAGGTGGGACAATCCAGACACGGAAATCCGGGCAGCTCAAATATGCTCGCTCAGCTGTGTTTTACGAATTTGAACTTGACTCCATCAGCCAGGGTCAAGTTCAAATTCTGTACAGGAAGTTCCCGTTGTCGTCAAAGAACTCTCGCCCCCTCTGCACCACCTTGCTGCTGAAGTTCTGGCCATCCAGTTCTCTTGCCTTCAACGCTTCCAGCTCCTTCGCTCTTGGCAATGCATCACGGTCAGGGCCTCTGGTGCCCTCATAATCACTGGTGGAGTAATTCTGCCGCTCTCTCTGCTGACCTTGGGCTGCAGCAACAGGCACAAAGCTTTCCTTCTCCAGGCTCTGGACTCCTTTATTCCCTCCCTTCTGTCTCCTCGGGGTGTTTGTACTCGGAGCATTCGGTTCTACCACCCTCAAAGCCGTGCTGTGACCTTGGCCTTGGGATGAGGCTGCACCTCCCGACACAGGGCAGCCGGCAGAAAGCAGCTCCCGCGCACCCCCAGGGCCCGGAAGCTGGCGGGGCGAGTGGGCAAGCCCAGCTTTCTGAAGGACTTTCTGATCCTGCTTCAGTTTCCTCTCCAAGGTGGGTACAAACTTGCTTCTTAAAACCCTTCTGATCACATCGGGGCTGACGTCAAAGCCTTCAGCCAATCTGGGGACTGACCAGGACTCTGGAAACTCTTCATGCAAATACCTAGAGGAAAACGAGGCAGTTTTTCAAGTTGTCAAAAAAGTGTCCTACCAGAACAGCCTGACAGACATTAGTGATGAATTCGTGAGAAGAGGTGCAAACGTAGGCTGGGTTTTTCATGCCTGCATGCTAACAGCAATACCCAACTGCTCTTATATCAATGTATTTCACATCAACTATTTCCTGCCACTGATCACCGGCCCCAGTTAAGTCCTGGAGAATGCATGAAGATGGTCCTTCCCTGTAAAGAACATGCAATCTGCCCTGACTGGTTTGGCTCCGTGGATAGAGCATCGGCCTGCAGCCGTCAAGAGTCAATGTTTTTAACTCTCTATTCTTCTCTGTAAAAAATCAGTAAAATATATTTTAAAGAACATGCAACCCAGTGGTAGAGACAGATGTAAACATACTGTATCGCCCTAACCAGTGTGGCTCAGTGGATAGAGCTTTCGCCTGCAGACTGAAGGGTCCCGGGTTCGATTCCGGTCGAGGGCATGTACCTTGGTTGCGGGCACATCCCCAGTGGGAGATGTGCAGGAGGCAGCTGATTGATGTTTCTAACTCTCAATTCCTCTCCCTTCCTCTCTGTAAAAAAATCAATAAAATGTATTTATATTTACTTATTTATTTTTAAATATATTTTATTGATTTTTTTTTACAGAGAGGAAAGGAGAGGGATAGAGAGCCAGAAACACCGATGACAGAGAATAATTAACCAGCTGCCTCTTGTACACCCCCTACTGGGGATGTGTCTGCAACCAGGGTACATGCCCTTGACTGGAAGGAATCGAACATGGGACCCCCCCACCCCCAGTCCGCAGACCAATGCTCTATCCACTGAGCCAAAACAGGTTTCGGCAATAAAATGTATTTTTATTTTATTTATTTTTATATATATTTTATTGATTTTGTACAGAGAGGAAGGGAGAGAGATAGAAAGCGAGAAACATCGGCTGCCTCTTGCACACAACCTACTGGGGATATGCCCGCAACCAAGGTATATGCCCTTGACCGGAATCGAACCCGGGTCCCTTTAGTTCCCAAGCTGACGCTTTATCCATTGAGCCAAACCGGTCTCGGCAATAAAATGTATTTTTAAATGAATAAATAAACTATAGTTAATAAACTATGAATAACTATGACTTCTATAAAACTCTCCTGAAGCAAAAGATATTAAATGAAAAGAAGTACAGGTAGCATGTATTTATAGTCTTCCACTGTTTGATTAAGGTGAAAACAACATCTATATTCATAATCACTGTATTTGCACAAGGAAACTTGGCAAAAGGCTTAAAAAAAAGAACTATTAAAAATAGCACTCACAGCCGAGACCGGTTTGGCTCAATGGATAGAGCGTCGGCTTGGGGACTGAAGGGTCCCGGGTTCGATTCCAGTCGAGGCATGTACCTTGGTTGCAGGCATATCCCCAGTAGGGGGTGTGCAAGAGGCAGCTGATAGATGATTCTCATCGATGTTTCTAGCTTTCTATCTCTCTCCCTTCCTCTCTGTACAAAATCAATAAAATATGTTAAAAATATATATATATATATAAAAATAAATAAAAATAAAAACAGCACTCACAGGAGCCTGCTGGAGTTAACACTTCTCAATATGTAAACCACTTTACTCTGTTCTAATTTCAAACCACACACACACACATACACACAAAAACTTTAAAATTTAAGAAAGGATCTCTTTAAGATTAAAAAAAAAATTCTAAATTAAGTGTTATGGCCTCAGAAAAGCGTGCAAAACCATGGAAGCTCTTATCCCTGGATCTTAGGTTAAGAATGTCCTGATTTACTATTTAGGGTTTAAATGTTGTGATGCCTGCAGATTACTCTTCTAGAAATTTCAACAAAATAAACTATTACCATGTTAAAAAAACACACACAAAACTATTAAATCAAGATGACGGGATTACGGAAGACCGTTCTATTACCTTAAAGAAAATTTAAGCTAAAAAAAAGTAATAGGAAATACAAAAACAATACTATCGTGGGCCCAGGAGCCTGCACCCCGCACTGCCCCCCTCGCAGCGGAGCCGAACCCCAGGGGTCTCACCGGATCTGCTTCATGGCTTCCCTAGTCAGAGTCCTGGGCGGGGCCCCGCGCGGCTCCATTTGCCTCCGAATTTTCTGGAACTGGATGGCTTTTTTCTGTCGTTTCAGGGCGCTGGGGGAGAGAAGCAATGGCAGACGCCATGCGTGGGAGCAACATGGGTGGTGCAAGCGGCTCGGGCTCAATCAGGGGGCGCCCAGGCCTCGTGTCTTTGTTCGCTGCCCGGGAAATCTAACACCCACAATGGCTGCCCCGAGCAAGGCGAGCTCTCTAAACGGGCGGTGAAATAAATGCGTCCCTGGTGAAGGGACCCGGGGTCCCAAAGGAGCCGGACACCGGCCCCTGCGCCTCGGATCGGGGAAGCAGCAAGGGACGCCCGGCGCCGAGGGGGCGCGGCCTGCAGCGCCGGGGCGCGAGGCCCTGCTTTCAGGCCGAGGGCCCGGGGAGGAGCCGGTACCTCTCCACCTCCTGCAGCTCCCGCTCCTCTGGTTCCCAGTCGGAATCGGGGTCCGGCTCGCGGCCGGGAGACCCCGGGCCTGCCACCCCCTGGGTCGCGAACCCGCAGCGAGACACGACAGCACGGACACGAGTCCCGAGAAGGAGACTTAGCGCGCGCGCCATGTTGAGCTAGCTGCTTTCAGCGCGAAACGCGGCGGTGCCGGAAGTTGATGGGCGGGACCCGGAAGTGACATCACCGCGTCAGGCAGAAGGCGACCTATCAGAGCTAGAAGGGCCCTGTGGCCCGCCCTTTCCGGTGTAAACAAGGGGAGAGATTTCCGGGGACACGCGAGTCCGAATAAGGTGAAGGATGCTTCTACAAAACTGCATAAATTTTAATAAAATGACGGGTTCGCTTGCCAAGCGTCAGCCCTTCGTCCCAACGGCAGCGCAGGCCGGCCCGTTCCCCCCACAGAGGCGGGAAGGACTTCGCCTCGGCGATCCTGTGATGACGACAGCCCCTTGCCTTGGGGGCGCTCCGGCCCCGGCCGTACCCCGGGTTCAGACCCGTCTCCTCGCGACTTATCCAGGCTCAGGTTAGAAGGGCGGAGACGAGTGCATGGCCGGCCCTGGCACCTCTTCCTTCACTTTTTAGTCTTTTCTGATCCGAAAATAATCTTGGGGGATTGAAGAATTCTTGGCATCCTACGTCTGGAGCCTTATGCAGACCGGGGTCCTGACCAAGGCTCTTCCGACTCGAGCTCGGTGGCATTCTTTGGTGAAAGAGCAACGGTTCAAGGTCCTTTGCCCCTTAGGACACCCGAGGGGGGTTCTCCAGCAGAGGTGGGGCGCTGGGCTTCCGTCCTGCGTTTACCTGTGCTGGCCGATGTCCAGGAGTGCAGTGGCGCTCTGCGTCAGGGATGCCGAGGAAGGGCAGAGGGGGAGGTCCTGGGCCTTGGCTGCTCTGTGCTCAGAATTGATCACAGAGGGCAAGGGGCATTCAGTCCAGGGGTTACTTACCACTCTTTCCCGTTGCAGGAAATAGCCCTGCGTTGGGGTTAAAGAGGATGGCACGGATCCTGCCATGGCTCTGTTTATGGCTTCTAGCCTTCTGCTGGCCTGGCCTTCTGCAGTGGAAACATGGGGGGAGGGGTACCCAAGTTGCTACTTGACAACTTTCCCCATCTGTCGCCCAAGTACCAACCCAGAGGCATGGCATCCTATGCTAACCCCCTCCAGCGTCTTTTTTAAAAAATATATATATTTTATTAATTTTTTACACAGAGGAAGAGAGAGGGATAGAGAGTTAGAGACATTGATGAGAGAGAATCATTTATCAGCTGCCTCTTGCACACTCCCTACTGGGGATGTGCCCGCTACCAAGGTATATGCTCTTGACCGGAATCGAACCCAGGACCTTTCAGTCCTCAGGCCGATCCTCTATCCACTGAGCCAAACTGGTCAGCGTCTTTACCACCCTTTACTGTCCCTGGTATGTGGATGTGTCCATTTCCCTGTGAGGTGAGTGTATTTCTGCCATTTCTATCACCAGATTCTAGTACCTTGGAGGAGGCAAATACATGGGACCACTCCCCCCCCCCCCCCCCCCCCCCAGTGCTGCAAGTCCCATCTATATTTGGGGAGCATCTTGGCTGTGGTATTTGCTAGTGGAAATGCCCACAAGTCAGAGCTACCAAGGCTAGTTTTGTATACATACGGTTAGTAAGCCTGAATCTGGACATGGGAAAGCAGCGCCTTCCAGACTTCTTCAGCGACACCGAACAGGGGCCGTAGTTGGCCGGGTCCCTCGTCCAGTTGAAGGTTCTGGGCTGGAGGTAGCACCCGGACTGGGGCAGGAGGGCAGGGTGGCCTGGCAGTGGCCCTAGGATCCTGGGGATCAGCTCGGGCTGGACGACGTGCAGGAAGCGAGGAGGATCCTCCTCCTTGTAGGCCCCTCTCAGGAGGACCAGCGGGAACAGGCTCAGAGACGGCAGCTCTTGGCTGCTCAGCCCGTCCTGGTGCGATCTAGGCTGGAGGAGAGAAGGAGCCTCTTACTGCGTTTCCTGCGAGGCTGGAGGGAGTGGCGGGAGAAATAGGTGACTGAGCCCTAGCTGGTGTCGCTCAGTGGATAGAGCCTCGGCCAGCACCGACTGAAGGATCTTGGGTTTCAGTCCAGTTGCTGGCTCGATCCCCAGTAGGGGGTGTGCATGCAGGAGGCAGCCGATCAGTGGTTCTCTCACATCATTGATGTTTCTCTCCCCCTCTCCCTTTCTCTCTTAATCAATAAAAATGTATTTTAAAAAGAGAAATAAATAACTGAAAAACCTTCCAGGCCATAGCCACTACGGAAGCAGTTACCCAACAAAAACAGGACCCACAGTGTTGCTACTAGTCCAGGGAATGGTGAATGTGGCAGCTGTTTCATTGGCCCAAGACTTTATTTACCTCCTGCTAGCACCACGGCACTGGCTGTGCTAGGGAGGGATTGCACGGGAGCCACGGAGGGTGGGGTTACAGCCAGATGGGAACATAGGTTGTGAGAAGGTTGGGAGCTGCACTTGGCTGGATACCAATGCTAAAAACAAGGGAGCTTGGGAGCGGACGTAAAAAAAACCCAAAAGACTGCCCTGGCCGGTGTGGCTCAGTGGCTAGAGCGGTGGCCTGGGGCCTCAAGGGTCCCAGGTTCAATTCCGGTCAAGGGCATGTACCTGAGTTGCCGCCACATCCCAGTAGAAGGTCTGCAGGAGGCAGCTGATCGATGTTTCTAACTCTCTATCCCTCTCCCTTCCTTTCTGTTAAAAAAAAAAAAAATCAATAATATATATATATTTTTTTTTTAAAAATATATTTTATTGATTTTTCAGAGAGGAAGAGAGAGGGATAGAGAGTTAGAAACATCGATGAGAGAGAATCATCAATCAGCTGCCTCTTGCACACCCCCTACTGGGGATGTGCCCTCAACCAAGGCACATGCCCTTGCCTGGAATCGAACCCGGGACCTTTCAGTCCGCCAGCCAACGCTCTATCCACTGAGCCAAATGGGTCCCGGCTCAATAAAATATATTAAAAAAAAGAAAGAAGAACCAAAAGGCTCCTTCCTAAGACCCAGCATGCACTGCTTCCCCAAGCTCTCCTGCCAGATTACCGTCCCATTAGCCTCCAGGGCCGCACGCAGCAGCCACCAGCACGTGCCCCCTTGCCCCTCACCCGGTAGTTGGGCAGCTTTTTCTGGCTCTGCTGGCTGGCCTGCACGATGGTGCTGATCTGCTCCACAATGCCCAGGCTCCGGATGAGGTTCTCCCTCCGCAGCAGGGCGTTCAGCCGCTCCAGCTCCTCCTCCTCCACAATGGCTTGAGGCCGCATGGTGTCCGGGTCTCCTGGGAGCAGCTACGAGGCACATGGGAGATGCATGCAGGCTCCTCCCCAGTGAGGAGTCCCAAACCATCAACACGTCAATCAACACGTCAACCGCAGGACTGACTCCTGCCCACTCTCCCACCATCCCTCCCCTGACCCGAGGGCCAGGTCCCTTTGCTATACCCATTCTCTCACAATCTGTTCTCAAAAGTCAGATTCCAGCCGAAACCGGTTTGGCTCAGTGGATAGAGCATCGGTCTGCGGCCTGAAGGGTCCCGGGTTCAATTCCGGTCAAGGGCATGTACCTTGGTTGCGGGCACATCCCCAGTAGGGGGTGTGCAGGAGGCAGCTTGTTGGTGTTTCTTTCTCATTGAAGTTTCAAGCTCTCTGTCCCTCTCCCTTCCTCTCTATAAAAAAATCAATAAAATATATGTATTTTTTAAAAAGTCAGATTCAGCCGAAACCGGTTTGGCTCAGTGGATAGAGCGTTGGCCTGCGGACTGGAAGGTCCTGGATTCGATTCCGGTCAAGGGCATGTACCTTGATTGCGGGCACATCCCCAATAGGGGGTGTGCAGGAGGCAGCTGATCGATGATTCTCTCTCATCGATGTTTCTAACTCTCTATCCCTCTCTCTTCCTCTATGTAAAAAATCAATAAAATATATTTAAAAAAAAAAAAGTCAGATTCAGTGGACTCATTAGGTACGCCTCTCTCTCTCTCTCTTTCTCTCAAGCGAGGAGCAGAGGACAGCAGATGCTCGTCTCTACTAGTTCCAATCCGTTTTCCTGCAGAAAGGCGGGAGCCACAGAGCCCCTGACCCCCTGACACCTTTCGATCCCGTTTCCGGTTCCTGTAAGCCAAGTGGGTGGAGAGGCCCTGGATCCTGGGCCTGGGCTGCCTCTTCTCCCCGGCCGACTCCCCCTGGCTCAGCTCCTTGTTTTCCCTTCGCTTCTTCGACTCTAAGACCTCCCGCTGCTTCTGCTTGAGGCGGATCTCTTCCCGTTGCTGCCTGACAAGATACAGCGGCTTCAGACACTGGAGAGATTGTGGAGGGGAGGTCATAGGGGGATGGGAAAAGAGGAGGACGTTATGATCCGTTCCGGGACTGACGGGGAGAGGAGTGTGGGGCAGATCGGAAACCTACTGAGCTGAACCAGGAAGTCTGACGGGGTTTATAACGCCCTCCCCCTTTGCTCAAGGGCCTGGCACCCTGTCCACCCTGCCGGGGAGCAGCGCAGCTGCAGGAGCCGCCCACACCCTCGCGAGGAGGAGTACCTGGAGCACTCCTCTCTGGCCTTGGAGGCGGCCGTCTCCTGGAAGAGGGAGCCGCTGTGCTTAAAGAAGGGGGCATACTTCTCTGTGTCGGGCCCCGGGTAGATCCGCCGGTACCCCCCCAGGTGGGAGTCCTCGTAGCACTCCTGGTCTTGCAGTGCTGCCTGGGACAGCTCCGTTTGCTCCCGCCTAAGACAGTGGTGGGCAAGCTCATGAGTCCACGGGGCCAAATGCCAACAGCACGACGATTGACATTTCTTTGGAGAGCCACATGTTTTACACTTAAACTTCTTCTAACGCCACTTCCTCAACACAGACTCACCCAGGCCGTGGTATTTTGTGGAAGAGCCACAACTCAAGGGGTTGGGGCCACATTCCCAGTGGGAGGTGTGCAGGAGGCAGCTGACTGGTGTTTCTCTCTCATCGATGTTTCTAACTCTCTATCCCTCTCTCTTCCTCTGTGTTTAAAAAGAAAAAATCAATAAAATATGTATTTTTTAAAAAATAAAAAAACAACAACAACAGCTGATCAAACCACATAGAGCTCCTTTATGGTGCTAATTATGAAATAGCTCTAACGTTCACTGTTAAGCAGGGTCCAGAGAGCGGGAAAGTTATGCTCCTGTCTGGGCAGTAAAAGGAGAAAAACAACTTGCATCAATACACGTGTGTGCATTAAATGTTTGTGAGAATATAGGCATGAGCCGAGGAACAGTGATGGGCTCGGGGGGAAACGGAGTAGCTGGAGGGAGAAGGGCAGGAGACAGGCTAATCACTGCATCTTTTTTTTTTTTTTAAATATATTTTATTGATTTTTTTTTTTTTTTTTTTTTTTTTTTTTTTTACAGAGAGGAAGAGAGGGGGACAGAAAGTCAGAAACATTGATCACGATCAGCTGCCTCTTGCACACCCCCACTGGGGAGGTGCCCGCAACCAAGGTACATGCCCTTGACCGGAACTGAACCTGGGACCTTTCAGTCCGAAGGCCGACGCTCTATCCACTGAGCCACACTGGTTTCAGCAAATCGCTGCATCTTTTGCACTTGAACATACTTGTCTGTGACAGATGATGTATTATTTATGCAAAAACTTGTTGTTAATAGCTCATCAGCCCCAGGTTTTCATTCTCAGGAAAGTGATAATGAAGAAGATAAGTGACACAGCTTGCCCAGCAGGCATGGCTCAGTGGTTGAGTGTTGACTTATGAATCAGGAGGTCACCGTTGGATTCCAGGTCAGGGCACATGCCCGGGTTGCGGGTTTGATACCCAGCGTGGGGCGTGCAGGCGGCAGCCAATCAATGGTTCTCCCTCATCATTGACGTTTCTCTCTCTCCCTCTCCCTTCCTTTTTGAAACCAATAACGTATTTTCTGACATGTACACATATTACCGTATTTTTCGGACCATAAGACGCACCAGTTTTTAGAGAAGGGAAATGAAGAAAAAAAGATTCTGAAACAAATAGTGTCCTAAAATATTTTATGTGCATTAAAACCCAACATCACAGTCATAAACACATGTAATCAACCCTGTAAAGTAAACAGCAGCATTTAGAACCATTTTAGAGCCGGGCAAGCACACAGAGACCACACAGAGCCGGGCAAGTAAAAAAACTTTTTTTTTAAAGTATATGTGTAGGCTATATTTGGACCATAAGACGCAGGGACTTTTCCCCCCCCACTTCTGGGGGGAAAAAAGTGCGTCTTACGGTCCGAAAAATACGGTCTGTGTCACATAAGGAATTATTCGACATTGAAATTGGGTCTCAAAAGAACTGTTGGCCCAGAAAGAAACTCACTACAGACTGATTCATTTGCCTCCCAGCATAACCATTACGGCCTGTCTCATTTTCGGTTCTTTTAAGTGTATTTCTTGGATCACGTGATCTCACACATCGAGGGGAAATAGTGAACAACATGAACTGATGAACAAAAAACAGACCCTGAGACAGGGAAGCATCGATCAGATCATCAAACCTCAGAGGGAAGAAAGGGGAGGGTGGGGGGGAAAGAGGGAGAGATCAACCAAAGGACTTGTGTGCATGCCTATGGGCCTGGCCAGTGGTCACGGACAACAAAGGTGTGGGGGCATGAGTGGGGAGGGGTTTGGGGTGGGCATAGGGGGATCAGGACAAATATGTGATACCTTAATGTAGGGGTGTCGAACTCAATCAGAGAAGGGGCCAAAATCTAAAATCCAGCCTAAATCGCGGGCCGAATGGTTTACTGAACAGTCCTAAACTGTCATTGTGATGGAAACGCAGCGGAGTGCAGTGATGACAGCGCGGTGCGGGCCACATTGCAAGGCCTGGCGGGACGGATTTGGCCCGCGGGCCTTGTGTTTGACACATGTGCCTTAACGAATAAAGAAATTTTTAAAAAAACTTAATAAAAAACAAACGTGTTTTAAAAACAGTGAAATGGACACACGGCGTACCTGGCCTCCCGCCGTATCTCTTGGTGGCACTGGAACAGCCGCACTTTGACCCGCCGCTTCTCTTCCTCCATCACCTTCCTCTTGTCACAGCCCCGGAGGTTGGCAAGGATCATGGCATCTAAGAGGAGGGCGTCCTTCACTTCTCGGTCGAGACGCGAGTCCGTGGTGAAGCTTGGAGAGTGGTTCACCTGCCAGGAGGAGCCGTTATCCGCCCCCTTGCTACGCCCCCTGAGCAGGTGGCCATCTCTTGCAGGCCCAACTGGGGGGGAGGGGGGGAAGGGGGGGGGAGGGAGTCTCGTAGGAGGGTTTAGCAAAGACATCTCCGCCACTGGCCTCAGCCAAGGAGGCCGGATGCTCTGACTTCCGAGGCCACAGAAAGCCCTTTAACCCAGGGGTCGGCAAACCAGGGCTCACGAGCCACAGGCGGCTCTTTGGCCCCTTGAGTGTGGCTCTTCCACAAAATGCCACGGCCCGGGCGAGTCTGTGTTGAACAAGTGGCGTTAGAGGAAGTTTAAGTTTAAAAAATGTGGTTCTAGCCAAAACCGGTTTGGCTCAGTGGATGGAGCGGCGGCCTGCGGGCTGAAAGGTCTCGGGTTCGATTCCGGCCAAGGGAATGTGCCTTGGTTGCGGGCGCATCCCCAGTCGGGGGTGTGCAGGAGGCAGCTGGTCGATGATTCTCTCTCATCGATGTTTCTAGCTCTCTATCCCTCTCCCTTCCTCTCTGTGAAAAATCAATATATTTAAAAATAAAAAGAGCCGAAACCGGTGTGGCTCAGCGGTAGAGCGTCGGTCTGTGGACTGAAAGGTCCCAGGTTCGATTCCGGTCAAGGGCATGTACGTTGGTTGTGGGCACATCCCCGGTAGGGGGTGTGCAAGAGGCAGCTGGTCGATGTTTCTCTCTTATCGACGTTTCTAGCTCTCTATCTCTCTCCCTTCCTCTCTGTAAAAAATAAATATTTAAAAAAATGTTTTTTAAATAAATAAATAAATAAAATAAAAATAAAAAAGATCTGATTCAGCAGGTCCAAAGCACAGAGATCTATCCCTGGTGCTCACCCCCCCAGCTCCCCCCCTCCCTGTGCGGCTGTATCCCCGTTCTCTGTTCTGCCACCTGAGTGTACACCAGCCCCCGGCGTCCGGTCCGAGGAGGACCTCGGTTTTGGGGAAAGCCCGGGAGAGAATCCTCACCTCCAGCAGCCAGGGCTTCAGCTTGTGGTCCAGTAAGATGTCAAAACCAAGGATCTCAAAACAGGCACAAGTCCCTCCATTGAGATGCTGGGGGAAGCAGGTGCGGTAGTTGTGGCGGAGGATGGAGTGGGCCGAGATGATGGTCTTGATGATGATGTCCTCGATGTCCCCCCACATCTCTCGGGGGTCGTAGCTGTGTTCTCGCAACCAGGCGTTGAGCGTCGACAGCTTCCTGCGAGGCCCCAGGGCTCAGAGGGGGGGGCCCACGTCTCGGCCCCTGCAGGGCCAGGCTGCAGGCGAGGTTGATATCCCCAAACACTAACCTAACTCCGTGCCTCAGTCCCTTGTGTTTTAAAGGGCCGATACCAGCCGAAACCGGTGTGGCCCAATGGATAGAGCATCAGCCTGCGGACTAAAAGGTCCTGGGTTCGATTCCGGTCAAGGGCATGTACTTTGGTTGCAGGCACATCCCCAGTAAGGGGTGTGCAAGAGGCAGCTGATCGATGATTCTCTCTCATTGATGTTTCTAACTCTCTATCCCTCTCCCTTCCTCTCTGTACAAAATCAATAAAATATATTTTAAAAAAAAAATGAGCCAAAACCGGTTTGGCTCAATGGATAGAGTGTCGGCTTGGGGACTGAAGGGTCCCGGGTTCGATTCCGGGCAAGGGCATGTACCTTGGTTGCGGGCACATCCCCAGTGGGGTGTGTGTGCAAGAGGCGGCTGATCGATGACTCTCTCTCATTGATGTTTCTAACTCTCTATCTCTCTCCCTTCCTCTCTGTACAAAATCAATAAAATATATTAAAAAAAAAAAAAAAAGAAAGGTCCCAGGTTCGATTCCAGTCAAAGGCATGTACCTTGGTTGCGGGCATATCCCCAGTGGGGGATGTACAAGAGGCAGCTGATCCATGATTCTCTCTCATCGATGTTTCTAACTCCCTTATCCCTCTCTCTTCCTCTCTGTAAAAATAATCAATAAAATATATATTTTTTAAATAAATAAAAAATAAAGGGCCACTACCAGCTTGGAGCCAGGTTTGTTACCCGGGTGGGTTGGGCACCCCCCACCCCCCCCAATTGGTGGACGGGCACAGGACAAGGGTCCGCAGAGTTTTCCTGAGCAGTCAGCCGGCCTCCCGGGGAGCCAGGCAGCCTGCCTCAGTTTCCCTCCTGGGCCGCTGAGACTGAGGCTAAGGGGCAGAGGGAGAAAAGGGAGCGGGGCATACCTCTTACTGCCCACGGCATCGTCCTGGACAAAGTTCTCATTGTGCTTGTTGATGGCGTAGTTGGTCAGGTGCATGCAGACGTCATCCTGGGGTTGGGGAGAGCGGCCTGCGGTCTCATCCTGCGTCTCTCCTCACCACCCTTCACTGCTCTGAGCACCCCATCCCCTTCCGCCCCTCCTCCCCCCCCCCCCCACTCCCCATCTCCTGTCCCGCTTCCCCCAGGACTGTCCTGGCAGCCGCTGGGGAAGAAGGGATGCTGAGGCCGCTCACTACCCCGTTTCCCCGAAAATAAGACAGTGTCTTAGGTCAATTTTTTCTCCCAAAGTTGCGCTAGGTCTTATTTTCAGGGGATGTCTTATTTTCGGGGAAACACGGTAGCTTCTTCCTCCTTGTGGGTGAGGACCCGCTGGCGTCTCCATGGAGACCTCAGCGGCGTCTCCATGGAGACCGCAGCCCGCGGCGGCGGGTGCGGAAAGGGCGCCATCTTACCAGGTTGCTGTGGTTGGGCTCCATGTAGGGCATGGTGGCGAAGCGGGCCAGGCCCTCCTCGTACATGAAGATGCGCAGGGGGTCGCAGGACGTGAGCAGGACGTAGATGCGCATGTCGAACTTGAACCCGTCGATGAGGAAGGGCTGGGGGGGGCGCGGGCCCGCCGGGGAGAAAGGACAGCAGCGCTGTGAAGCGCTCGCTCCGTGTCACGGGAGGCCATGCGCGCTTCAGACACATTTAACTTCCACAGTGACCACGTGACACCGTTGTGTCGTTACGCCCAGTGACAAGTGAGGAAACTGAGGCACGGGGTAGGGTAAGACAGCTGCCCGAACCCAGATGTCTTAAGAAGTGGGGAAACTCAGGTTCAAACCTAGGCAGGCTAGCTCTGAGCCAGGGCTCCCTCCACATGGCCTCCAAGGTGGGGGGGGAGGGGGGAGGCCGGAACCGGTGTGGCTCAGTGGATAGAGCATCCGCCTAGGGACTGAAGGGTTCCAGGTTCGATTCTGGGTCAAGGCTGTGGGCACATCCCCAGGAGGGGGTGTGCAGGAGGCAGCTGGTGGGTGTTTCTCTCTCACTGATGTTTCTAGCTCTCTATCCTTCTCTCTTCCTCACTGTAAAAAAAAAAATCAATAAAATATATTTAAGCCAAAACCAGTTCGGCCCAGTGGATAGAGCATCGGCCTGTGGACTGGAAGGTCCTGGGTTTGATTCCGGTCAAGGGCATGTACCTGGGTTGTGGGCACATCCCCACTAGGGGGTGTGCAGGAGGCAGCTGATCGATGATTCTCTCTCATCGATGTTTCTGACTCTCTATCCCTCTCTCTTCCTCTTTATAAAAAGTCAATAAAATATTTAAAAAAAAAAAAAAGATAAGGGGAGTAGGAAGGGTAGGAGCTGGAAACCGGCTTCCTCCCTGGCTTTGGGAGAGACGGGGTACCCAATGCCGGTGGTACCCCAATGCCGGCAGAGGGGCCCGGTGGCCCCGGGGCGCCCCTCACCTTGGAGATGTACTGCTGGCAGATCATATGCTCCCCGATCTTGATCTCCCGGGGGTTCCGGGTGATGAAGATGCCGCGGCCCTGACAGCCGCTGTCGGGCTTGCAGATGAACGTCCGGGTCTTCCGCTGACGGCCGCAGGCGTGGAAGTCCCCGTAGCTGCGTGCACACCAGACGGGGCGGGTCAGAGGGTCCCGGGGTCCCGTGGACCCCTCCTGCCCTCCGCCCCGTGCTCTTCCTGGAGCCCTCCGCCTCAGACCACTCAGCCTCTGTCCCCGAGACGGTCAAGGTCAAGTTCAAGGTCAAGGCCGAGCTCACTCGGCGGGGAGGCACCAGGTGCGCGGGAAGATGTTGTACTCCCGCGGGTAGATCTTCTGCATGCGCTTCAGGTTCCGGGCCAGCAGGTCCTTGCGGCAGATTTCCGTCATGCCGGGAAAGTGGTTGATTTTCTGAAACAAGAGGCAATTCGTTAAACTAATTAGACAATTCGTTAAACTCCCCTCCTTCCACAGAGGAAAGCGCTGTTCCTGGGGCCTGGGCATCCAGGAGAAGGCCTGGGAAGGTCCCAGGTTCGATTCCGGTCAAGGGCATGTGCGTTGGTTGCGGGCACATCCCCAGTAGGGGGTGTGCAGGAGGCAGCTGATGGATGATACTCTCTCATCAATGTTTCTATTTTTTTTTTTAAATATATATTTTATTGATTTTACACAGAGAGGAATTGAGAGGGATAGAGAGTTAGAAACGTCGACGAGAGAGAAACATCGACCAGCTGCCTCTTGCACACCCCCCACTGGGGATGTGCCCACAACCAAGGTACATGCCCTTGACCGGAATCGAACCCGGGACTTTTCAGTCCACAGGCCGACGCTCTATCCACTGAGCCAAACCGGTCTCGGCTCATCGATGTTTCTAACTCTCTATCCCTCTCTCTTCCTCTTTGTAAAAAATAAAATATATATTTAAAAAAAATAAAAATATGCATGCAGACCCTTTTCGGTTATTTTATTGCTAGCCACCACAAAGACCCAATTAGGGGAACACAAAAATACGATGGAGAGTTAATATTCTTCTTGAGGACCCTGGTCTTTCTTTCTTTTAAAAAAAACATATATTTTATTGATTTTTTACAGAGAGGAAGATAGAGGGACAGAGAGCTAGAAACATCGATGAGAGAGAATCACTGATCAGCTGCCTCTTGCACACTCCCTACTGGGGATGTGCCCGCAACCAAGGTCCATGCCCTTGACCGGAATCGAACCTGGGACCTTCTGGTCCGCAGGCCGACGCTCTACCCGCTGAGCCACACCGGTTTCGGCCCACCAGCCGATATGGAGACAGGACGTGCCCAGCAGACACTTCCTCTGATAACAGAACGTCCGGAGAGCCAAGAGGAGAGTATTTCCATTGGGGTGGAAGCCCCTGGCCATGGCCTTTCCTGCCCTCAGCAGGCGGATGGCCACAGAGGGACAGCCTCGGGGGGCCGGGCCCTCAGGGCAGGGGTTAGGGGTGAGGAGCAAGCAGTCATTCTGGGGCCGCAGCCCCTTTAGGATCATACCTGAAACCGCTTCATGTCCATCACGCGTTCCAGGGACACGGAGCAGTCCGTCCAGTACACGTTCCACTCCTCGTCCTCCCCCGCCTCCCGCAGGCCACACATCTGGGCCGCGCGACGCACTGCGGGGATGGGGAGGGGGTCAGTGAGGCCCGGGCGGGCCCGAGAGGGAGGGAGTCACCTCAGCTCTGCATGCGAGTTGCCAGGGGCCAACTCCAAGTTCGCCAAGCTGTCGGGGGCCCTTCCACACGCTGACAGAGAAAACGAGAGAGTCTGGCTCGCGCGCGCGCGCTCGCTCTCTCTCTCTCTCTCTCTCTCTCTCTCTCTCTCTCTTTTTGTGCCTGTTACTCTCAATCAGGACGGGTTCTAGCCAGCAAAGCTAGCCCTTGGCAGGGATCACACCAGCACCTCACACTCTGGGGGGGGGGTCTTGCACAGATGACCGGGGGGTAAGAGGGAAGAAAGAGATGGTTGACCTAGCGGGGGATTTTTAAAAAAATTGCTGAAGCCGCCGAAACCGGTGTGGCTCAGAGGATGGAGCATTGGTCTGCGGACTGAAAGGTCCCAGGTTCAATTCCCGTCAAGGGCATGTACCTTGGTTGCAGGCACATCCCTGGTAGGGGGTGTGCAGGAGGCAGCTGGTCGATGTTTCTCTCTCATCGACGTTTCTAGCTCTCTATCCCTCTCCCTTCCTCTCTGTAAAAAAAATCAATAAAATATATTTCTAAAAATAAGTAAATTGCTGAAGCCACCTCAAGAGTTTCCTTGAAAAAATGGTTTTAGTTGCATCTTATCTGATTAAAAAAAAAGAAAAGAAAAGAAACCCCCCCCCCCCCCGGAAAATTGGCCCTAGTCGATTAGGCTCAGTGGGTAGAGCGTCAACCTGCAGACTGAAGGGTCCTGGGTTTGATTCCGGTCAAGGGCACATGCCCAGGTTACAGGCTCGATCCCCAGCAGGGGGCGTGCAGGAGGCAGCCCATCAGTGATTCCCTCTCATCATAGATGCTTTTTTTTTCTCTCCCTCTCTCTCTCCCTCCCTCTCCCTTCCGCACTGAAATCAACAAAACGATATTTAAAAAACAAAACAAACTGAAAAAGGTTGGGGCAATGGTGACTTCCAATCATTTTAAAAAAATATATATTTTATTGATTTTTTTTTTGGCAGAGAGGAAGGGAGAGAGACAGAGAGCTAGAAAGGTCGATGAGAGAGAATCATCGACCAGCTGCCTCTTGCACACACCCTACTGGGGATGTGCCCACAACCAACGTACATGCCCCTGACCTGAATCGAACCTGGGACCTTTCAGTCCGCAGACCGACCCTCTATCCATTGAGCCACACCGGTTTCGGCCTTTTTTTTTTTTTTTCTTCATGTTGGCTATTGAGAAGCCCACCCTACCGGAAATTAGCTGAACGGTGATGTGTCTCAGCTGCTAATGGCTGGGCCAGGGCGCTCAGTGCAGGCTCCAGCCAGACTCACACCATCCAGGGGCTGAGAGGCTGATTGGGGGGGCGGGGGAGCATCCCCAGAGCGACACTGACAGCAGAGCCGGGCGCTTACCGCTCTCATATCTGCAGTTGGTCAGGTTGATGGCCAGGGCTCTGCAGGGAGGAAGAGCAGCCATCAGGCACGGCGGGAGAGAAGGGCGGACCCCTGGCTGTCAGGTGCTCGGATAAGAGACACCCAACAAGTCCACAATGCAGCCCAAACCGGTGTGGCTCAGTGGATAGAACGTCGGCCTGCGGACTGAAAGGTCCCAGGTTCGATTCCGGTCAAGGGCAGGTACCTTGGTCGTGGGCACATCCCCGGTAGGGGGTGTGCAGGAGGCAGCTGGTTGATGTTTCTCTCTCATCGATGTTTCTAGCTCTCTCTCCCTCTCTGTAAAAAATAAATAAAATATATTAAAAAAAAAAAAAAAAAGTCCACAATGCAGTTGGTTTCCTCCGGAAGCCCCTTGAGGACCCAGATGACACACACATGCTGAAATTCTACGCTGAGCCACCATCATGATTCTTTTTTCTTTTTCTTTTTTAAATATATTGATTTTTTACAGAGAGGAAGAATGATAAGAGAGTTAGAAACATTATGAGAGAATCACCAATCAGCTGCCTCTTGCACCCCCTACTGGGGATGTGCCCACAACCAAGATATATGCCCTTGACCGGAATCGAACCTGGGACCTTCCAGTCTGCAGGCCGACGCTCTATCCACTGAGCCACACCAGTTTCGGCTACCCTCATGATTCTTAATCTTGTTTTTGTTGTACCCAAAGGTTAAGAAAGGTCCGGTATTCCCTGTCATCCTTCCCAGGCAAAAGGGAAGACCTGGGGTCCCGGCCCAACTGCAAAAGGGAAGCTGGGGCGGGATGGGGGGGGGGGGGCCTGCAGAGCCGGGCAAATGAGGGGGTTCGGGGAACTGTTACCTGCGTCTCCGCCTTCTCTTCCTTCTCCTAACCTGTCCTTCCTCTAAGGCACCTGGGGCTCGGGCTGTTTTGGGGATTTTCGTGGCCACAATGGATAAGGCGAGCTCCCTGTTGGCCCTGGAGCGCGCCTGCTGTGTGGGGTCCGGAGAGATGGTAACATCCTCCTTATCACTTTCCTCCTCCTCCTCCTCCTCCGACTCTTCGTCTTCGCCAGAGTCTTCCTCCGACTCACTGGTCTTGGAGGGGCTTCGCTCCATCCTTTAGATTCTGGGGGGGACAGGGGTGGGGAGGAAATAGACTCAGACTCCCCTCCACGCCTGGGAAGGCCTACAGGCATCCAACGTGAGGACCTCCCTGGTGTGCAAAGGGATTGTGGCTGCTCCTCAGGAACGGGCAGTTTCCAAGCGGGCAATGGGGGGGGGGGGGTTTGGGGTGCCCCTGACAATGCTGGGTCCGCTGGCAAACCCCAGTCATCCAAGGTCACTCCACACAACATCCTGAAGTGCAGCAGGATCTGAACGGAGCTGGCAAGCACCTGTGCTATCACTTCTTTTGTTTTGTTTTGTGTTTGAATGAGAAGAGGGATGGCTGGAGGAGGGTTTGGGGGGTAGGGGGGCGCTTTGCTTTTAAAATAGAGCATATCACCGAAATCCATGTGGCTCAGCGGATAGAGCGCCGGCCTGCGGACTGAAAGGTCCCAGGTTCGATTCCGGTCAAGGGCATGTACTTTGGTTGCGGGCACATCCCCAGTAGCGGGTGTGCAGGAGACAGCTGGTCGATGTCTCTCTCTCTCTCATCGATGTTTCTAGCTCTCTATCCCTCTCTCTTCCTGTCTGTAAAAAAAAAAAAAATCAATAAAATATATTAAAAAATAAAAATAAAATAGAGCATACGCCCAAAGGTCCACCAGACCAGCCTCAGTTTCTCCATGCGTACACACGGGCCAGGCACCCGCTAGCTAAGAAAGACCTCTTAGGTTCTGACAGCAGAGGAGGAGCCCCCTGTGGACTCTGCCCACCGGGAGTCGCGAGGAGCGTGGAGGGACTACTGAGGAGTCCGCTCCTAGCGGCCTGGGACTGGGCTCAGCTGGTCGCTCATGTCCACCCTTCCTTCCCTGGGCATGGCTGGGCCTCAGGGACCGACCGCCTCCTGGCTTCCTTCCACAGGACGTGCCGTCCCCACTGATCACAAGGGGGCGCCCGTTCCCCACGGGGGGTCCACTCTTAGCTGCGCGATCCGGCGGGTGGTGGCTCCTTCCGCAAGCGGGCTGCCACCGCCCACTGTCGCCATGGACACGAGTGACCCCCATTGGAGCAGCGTTCTGGGGGCGGGGCCTCCTGGGAGCCACACCCATTCGGCTGCGCGTTCTCTGCCCTGGGGAAAGGGAGCAGGGGTGAGGGGCTGGCTGGCAGTAGAAGGGCCACCTAGCCTGAGGCCCTCTTCCTGTGGCAGCTGACAGACTGCATCATGGGACTTGTAGTCCAGTAGGCTCTACCCCACTCCCACTCTTTCTTGTACCACCAGGCTAAGGGCAGAATTTGGCCAACTCTGCTTGCCTTTGTTATATATATATATATATATATATATATATATATATATATATATATATATATAATATATAAATATATAAATATATAAATATAATTTTTTTTAACAGAGAGGAAGGGAGAAGGATAGAGAGTTAGAAACATCAATGAAAGAGAAGCTGCCTCCTGCACAGTCCTCACTGGGGATGTGCCTGAAACCAAGGTACATGCCCTTGACCGGAAAACGAACCTGGGACCCTTCAGTCCGCAGGCCAGTGCTCAATCCACTGAGCCATACCAGTCAGGCTCATTTTTTTCTTTCTTCTTTTGACAAATATCTAGTATTCCAGGCACTGGTCTAGGACCTGAGCCATCATTTCTTGCCTGAATTTCCACCATTCACCAACCTCTTAATTGGATTCTATTCATCCATCCATCCATCCATCCAATACAGCTAAAGCAGTGGTCGCCAACCTTTCAGACCTCATGGGGACCACCACCAGTTAGAAACATTGATGAGAGAAAAACATTCATCAGCCTCCTCCTGCACACCCCCTGCTGGGGATGTGCCCACAACCAAGGCACATGCCCCTGACTGGAATCGATCCCAGGACCCTACAGTCTGCAGGCCGATGCTCTTATCCACTGAGCCACACCAGTTTCGGCAGGAGTTATATACAGGCTGGGCATCCCTGGGGCTTGCCCAAGAAGAAAGGAAGAAGCAGATACAGCCAGAACCGGTTTGGCTCAGTGGATAGAGCGACGGCCTGCGGACTAGAAGGTCCCAGGTTCGATTCCGGTCAAGAGCATGTACCTTGGTTGCGGGTCACATCCCCAGTGGGGGGTGTGCAGGAGGCAGCTGGTTGATGTTTCTCTCTCATCAATGTTTCTGACTCTGTCCTTCTCCCTTCCTCTCTGTAAAAAATCAATAAAATATAAATATTTTTAAAAAGCAGCAGATACATCCATGAGGGCTCACTCATTCCATTTATTCCAAGGTATCTCCTCGTGAAAGAGACCACTGTTATCAGTTCTTTTTTTTTTTTCTTTTTTTTTTAAATCTTTACTTGTATTGAACAGTTTTGTTTTTTAAAAAAATATATATTTTATTGATTTTGTACAGAGAGGAAGGGAGAGAGAGAGAGAGTTAGAAACATCAATGAGAGAGAGAGTCATCATCGATCAGTTGCCTCTTGCACACCTCCCACTGGGGATGTGCCCGCAACCAAGGTACATGCCCTTGACCGGAATCGAACCCGGGACCTTTCAGTCCCCAAGCCGACGCTCTATCCACTGTCACACCGGTTTCGGCTGTTATCAGTTCTTGATCCCTCCTCTGAGGCTAGGACAGGGGAGGGAGCCTCCATCACTGCTCCTCCTGAGCTACCAAGGCCACCAGTGCCGCCCGTACCTCCGCCGCCTGCGCTGGGGGCAGCAGACAGTCCTGGATGAGGGCCAGGGCGGCCGCCTCGGTCAGGCCGCTGAAGTCCTGGGCCGTTTTCACAGGCAGGTGCCCGGCCAGCTCGCAGAGGGCCACGTTGAACGCCTCCCCTTCCTTTACCCCGAAGCTGGGCTTGCGGGGCCAGAGGATCACCCGGACCCCCGTGAGGGTCGGGGAGAAGGATGCCTTCCCAGGGGGTGCACCCCGGGTCACAAACACGTTATGGGCGATCTCGTGGTCCGTCAGATAGTCCGTGGCTCGACACACCCTGCTGATCAGGGATTCCAAACCCGGCCCCGGCCCGCGGGTATAAAAGAGGAAGCCGGGGGCTGGGACAGCCTGGAGCAGGTACACACGGCCCCCAGGGTCCAGGGGCTCGCTTGGGGCCCCCTCGACGGGCAGCCTGTGGGCCAGGTAATAGCCGTGCAGGTGGAGGTGGTTGACGGAGGCCAAGCCGCCCAGGCTGTTGAACCCGACGCGGAAGCCCGGGTGCGAGCTCAGCAGCACGGCCTCCAGCCCGGCCCGGAGCGTGCAGGGCAGCAGGCGCTGCGGGAGCCCCCGGGCGGGCTCGGGCACCAGCAGCACGTGGCCCCGCTCCAGGGGGCTCACGTTGATCATCACGAGCACATCCTCATCCTGGGGACCCCCCGGGGGATCGGGGTCCCGGCGGCGCAACCGGAAGAGGACCTCCCCCGTCCGGATTTTGTTGAAGTTGAACTCTTGGGGGTCAAACGCCTGCCTGACGCTCCTGATGTTCTGGGGGCGCCTCCTCTGCACCCCTCGTTCCACGTTCAGCTGAGCCACGAAGCCCACGGGGCCGGGGAGCGTGCGGGTCTGCAACTCCCCCAGGCGGTAGCGGAACAGGCCCAGATCCATCCGCTGTCTCCAGGCCGAGCGGAGCGCAGAATCGAAACGAGACGGAGGAGGCCGTGTGTCCGGGGGGCCGGGAGGGGTCCCCGGCCACTGAACCCCTTCCCGCGTGAGCTCCTTCTGTCCATACACAAAGTCAGGGATGCCTCGCTCTTCCCAGGCCTCCCGGTTTGGAGGCAGCAAATAGGAAGTTTCATTGAAACCCGCTGAAACAGCCATGGGCCGACCTGAAACAGTCATCAGAGGGGGAGAAACACATGATGCTAACCCTTTCCAGAGATTTCTAAAAATATATATATTTTTAATTGATTTTTTAAATGTATTTTTTTTGATTTTTAACAGAGAGGAAGGGAGAGAGATAGAGAGCTAGAAACGTCGATGAGAGAGAAACATCGGCCAGCTGCCTCTTGCACACCCCCCACCACCGGGGATGTGCCCGCAACCAATGTATATGCCCTTGACCGGAATCGAACCCGGGGCCTTTCAGTCCGCAGGCTGACGCTCTACCATTGAGCCAAACAGGCTTTGGCTTGTTTTTTTTTTTAAAGAGAGGAAGAGAGAGGGATAGAGAGCCAGAAACATCAATGAGAGAGAAACATCCATCAGCTGCCTCCTGCAGACCTCCAATTGGGGATGTGCCTGCAACCAAGGCACATGCCCTCGACTAGAATCGAACCTGGGACCCTTGAGTCTGCAGGCCAACTCTCTATCCACTGAGCCACACCGGTTAGGGCCATTTCCAGAGATTTTATTTTTATTTTCAGATAACCTTTACTTGTTCTTCTGGTTACAAAAGTAATATATACCTTTGATGAAATACAGGAATGACTCAAGATCCTTTAGATTAGCATACATTTTTTGCTGAATTAAAAATAGCTCAGTGGTTGAGCATCAGCCTATGAACCAGGGGGTCAAGGTTCGATTCCCAGTCAGGGCACTGATTGGCTGCCTCCTGCATGCTCCCCACTGGAACCCAGGCATGTGGCCTTGACCAGAATCAAACTTGGGACCCTTCAGTCTGCAGGCCCATGCTCTATCCACTGAGCCATACCAACTAGGGCAGTGGTCGGCAAACTCATTAGTCCACAGAGCCAAATATCAACAGGACAACGATTGACATTTCTTTGGAGAGCCACATTTTTTTAAACAACTTCCTCTAACGGCACTTGTTCAACACAGACTTGCCCAGGCCGGGGTATTTTGTGGAAGAGCCACACTCAAGGGGCCAAAGAGCCGCAAGTGGCTCGCGAGCTGCACTTTGCAGACCGCGGAGCTAGGGTAATCACACTGAGTGCTGGTCAAACTAGTCACTCAGTAAACATTTACCCAGCCAATGCCACATATCCTGGAGTGCATGCCACTCATACTCATGGGGCTCACAGCCTAATGGCGGGGAAACAGTCATCACATGAGCAAATATAAATTGCAAGCAAGATACCTGCCGTGCAGGAGAAGCACTGGGAACTCGGCAAGTGTAAGACAAACTCCTAATCTAGTCCGGACACTCAGGAAAGGCTTCCGTGAAGGTAAGCCGTTAGAGGAACTACTGAATGCCCATGGCTAAACCACAGAGGCCCTGAGGAGATGGCAGAGAGAAGCTGAAGTCAGATTACCGGGCCCGAGGGTTTTTTGTGTGTTTTTTTAAATATATGTTTTATTGATTTTTTACAGAGAGGAAGGGAGAGGGACAGAGAGCTAGAAACATCGATGAGAGAATCATCGATCAGCTGCCTCTTGCACACCCCCCACCGGAGATGTGCCCGTAACCAAGGTACATGCCCTTGACCGGAATCAAACCTGGGACCTTTCAGTCCGCAGGCCGACGCTCTATCCACTGAGCCACACCGGTTTCGGCTGGAGGGTTTTTTGTGTTTTTTTTTTTAATTGACACGCTCACATTTAGACTTTACAAATCAGCAAGATTACATTGGAAACATCAAGAATTAATTCCTACAAGTGCACCTGTCCATTATACCTCAGCAAAACTGGAAACGAAAGGAATCATCTCACTTTCACCTCCTCCTCTCAAGCCTCGCCCTTTGGAATAGCGCCGTTTCATTCATTCATGCATTGGACACTGGGGCACCTACCTCGCAGGGCTTCCTTACAAAACTCGAAGCAACTCCGCACAGCGTTTGGCCCCCGCTGGGTGTGAGGAAACAGCTTCCCAGGCAGGAAGGGTGCGGGTTTGTCTGAGGAGGCGACGCGGGGGCTGCCACACGCGAGGCGGAGGGCCGGGTGGTGACGTCGGGATGCAAACGCCGTCCTCAGGCACAGGGGCAGCGGCGGCCCATGGCCAGAGAATTTTCCAGACCCCTCTGGCCCCAGACTTCCCTGCTGCCCCCACCCGAGGCCGCCGCCGCCGCTTCCTGCAGGAAAGAAGGACGCTCCGCGCGAGCGACCACCAGCTTCTGCAGCCCCAGCACAGCGAGGACGCGGCGCCCTCCGCGCATGCGCACCCACCTGCGCGCGCGCGCACGCACGCACGCTCGCGCGCCGTCCGCCCCCTCCGCTCCGGAGGCGGGGCCTGTGGTTTAGCCACGCCCCTGGCCACACTGGCCACGCCCCCCATCTCGCCAGGGACCGCCCAGAGCGGGGATTGGCGGGGAACTTCGGGGCGCTGCGAGGAGGAGGCGGGCCTCGGGGATGGGGGCGGAGCCCCCCTCCCTCAGGGGCGGTTGCCACGGGGACGGGGCGGGGACGCTCGGCCCGAGGGCGGAAGTGAGAAAGTTGCCGGCTGTCCCGAGAGGAGTTGGCGGAACTGTTGCTGCGCGCGGCTCGGCGGCGATGGGGGGCTCGGGCAGCCGCCTGTCCAAGGAGCTGCTGGCCGAGTACCAGGTGCGCGGGACGCGGCGCGGGGAGCGCGCGCGCGCGCGGGGCCTGCGCTCGGGGATCGGGTCCCGGAGCGGGCGGCGTGGGGGGCGAGGGCTCGGCCTCCCGGGCGGGCGGCCCGCTGACCTCGGTCCTGCCTGCTTTGCCTTCCAGGACCTGACGTTCCTGACCAAGCAGGAGATCCTCCTGTAAGTGCTGATCTGAACCTCTCTGTCATCGGGATCCCCTAGAGACGGCTTCCGGGGGGGGGGGGGGGCGTTCTGTCCTACCGATGGGGAAACTGAGGCCTCCTGGAGGTCGGCGGCTGAGCCGGAACCCGGAGTCCCGCGGCGCCCCAGCCCTGGAGCCTGCGCCCCGCCCATTCTGGGGGCCCAGCTGTGCTGTCTGCAGCCAAAGCTGGGTGCCCTTTGACCTTTGCGCTCCCCAGACTTCTGCATAACAGAACCTCCAGCCCCGGGTCCTTGGGGAGCTTGGTTCCTTCTCCCAACCTTACCTGAATAATACACCTACCCTGGGCCAAGCACGTGCTAAATCAGCCTGTATCACCTACTTTAAAGACACAGGGGACAGTGACACAGGTCCGGAGAAGTCTGGCAAATTGCCCAAGACTGACATCCCCAGAAAGGATTTGAACTGGGTTAGAAATCCCTTTCCAGCCACCTGCCAGCTTTTTTTTTTTTTTTTTAAATATATTTTATTGATTTTTTACAGAGAGGAAGAGAGAGGGATAGAGAGTTAGAAACATCGATGAGAGAGAATCATCGATCAGCTCCCACCTGCATACCCCCCAACTGGGTATATGCCCTTAACCGGAATCGAACCTGGGACCTTTCAGTCCGCAGGCCGACGCTCTATCCACTGAGCCGCCACACCAGTTTCGGCCACCTGCCAGCTTTAAGTGGCCAGGGCTTCTTCCGCTTGGCTAAAGTAATCCCCGTGGTGAGGAGGTGGTGCTGGGGAGGAGAAAGTTCAGGTCAAGGTTAAACTGCTTAAAAGAGAGGGAGGCCTTGAGGGGCAGGAGATCCCTGTGGAGTTTTGCTTAATTTCTCCCAGTTCATCCGAGCCAACTTCTGGCTCCCAGTACACCCCAACCTCTCCACCCCTCGTGGACCTACTGTGCGCTCGAGGCCCTGGCACACAGTAGGTCTTCAGAAAATTACCCATTGCAAGGACGAACTCCCAGCCTGTGCTGTCTTGTTGGCATGGCTCCCGCTGGCTTATCAAGCCTCATAACGCAGAAATTTTCTGGGCATAGCTTGGCATAGCTTGGCATAGCTTGGGCGCCTCACCTGGTGTGTGATGGGTAATGCACACGGGAAGGCGGGCCAACAGGTTTTCCTGCTTGTGCCAGAGCCCACAGGCGGTTCTGTGAGCTGTTGCCCCAGGAGTTCCGGAGCATGGAGGAGTCGCTGCAGGCCAGAGTGTCCCTGGAGCAGATCTTCAGCCTTCCAGAGCTCAAGGTGCCAGTTCCCCCAACACCCCCCCCCCCCCGGGGGGAATCAGGCAGTCACTGTCCCATTCTGGTCTTTCCTCTGGTTAGCCCTAACGTCCCCGGTGGAATGATCTGGAATGGTGTTTTTCAAATCGGGATTCTAGAAACATATTCTTGGCGTTTGGTCCTTTAAGAGGAGTTGAGTCGCCTTTAAGTTTGCGAAACCCTCTTCCAGGGGCTGATGGCCTCTCCTGAGGGCTGTGAAAATGCAAAGGGCATGGCCTAGTGCCTATAGCAGGTCTTTATTTTAATGAATGAATGTTTATATATTTTATTGATTTCAGAGAGGGAGGGAGAGATAGAAACATCAGTGATGAGAATCACTCATCAGCTGCCTCCTGCATGCCCCCTCCTGGGGATGGAGCCCACAACCTGGGCATGGGCCCTTGATTGGGTCCACAGGCTGATGCTCTATCCACTGAGCCAAACCAGCTAGGGCTATTTATCTTTTTGTTAATCCTCACCTGAGGATATTTTTCCAATGAATTTTAGGGAGAGTGGAAGGGATGGGGAGGGAGAGAAACATCGATGTGAGAGAAACACATTCATTGGTTGCCTCCTGCATGCGCCTCAACCAGGGCCCGGGCCAGGGGAGAAGCCTGCAACCAAGGTTCACGCCCTTAACCGGAGTCCAACCAGGACCCTTTGGTCCCCAGGCGTCGGCTCTATCCACTGACCCTAACAGAATAGAGCACAACATGTTTAATTCAATGTTCTCTTTGGCCGAAACCGGTGTGGCTCAGTGGATAGAGCGTCGGCCTGCGGACTGAAGGGTCCCAGGTTTGATTCCGGTCAAGGGCATGTACCTTGGTTGTGGGCACATCCCCAGTGGGGTGTGTGTGTGTGTGTGTGCAGGAGGCAGCTGATCGATCATTGATTCTCTCTCATCGATGTTTCTAACTCTCTCTTCCTCTCTGTAATAAATCAATAAAACGTATATATTAATAAATAAAGAAAGAAATAAAAGAAAAAGCATTGGTCATTCCCCCTGCCCCCTCGAGCCTGCACTCATGGTGCGGGTTCTGGGACCCGTCTCCTCCGGTCCCTCTGGGGTTTGAGTGCGACCCAGGCTGCGTCCTATGGCGCTGACGGAGGCTCTCTCCCTAGGCCAACCCCTTCCGGGACCGCATCTGCAGGGTCTTCTCGACCTCTCCGGCCCGCGACAGCTTGAGCTTCGAGGATTTCCTGGACCTCCTCAGCGTGTTCAGCGACACGGCCACGCCAGACATCAAGTCCCACTATGCCTTCCGCATCTTCGGTGAGGACCCCGGGGGGAGAGGGGTGGGAGGAGAGGGGAGCCTATGGGAGCACAGGGCCTGCCCCAGGGTCTTTGGGCCAGGTCTGCCCGGGCTCTGGGGTCATCCCAGTCCCCCCCCCCCCCCCCGCCATATCTGCTCTAGATTTCGATGACGATGGCACCTTGAACAGAGAAGACCTAAGCCAGCTGGTGAACTGCCTCACGGGAGAGGGCGAGGACACCAGGCTCAATGATTCCGAGATGAAGCAGCTTATTGACAATGTGAGTGGCTGGGCCCAGCGGGGTGGGGTCGGGGGGGGGGAGGGCGGGGGAGGAAGGCGAGCCGGGCCAGGAGCCTAGGGAGGGCCGGGGACTGACACCCACCCTTTGCCCAGATCCTGGAAGAATCCGACATCGACCGGGACGGGACCATCAACCTCTCCGAGTTCCAACATGTTATTTCCCGCTCACCGGACTTTGCCAGGTAGGGCTGTCCTGCCCTGTGGCATCTGGGTCTAGGATGTTCTTTTTTTTTTTTTTTAATATATTTTATTGATTTTTTTTTTTTTTTTTACAAAGAGGAAAAGAGAGAAAGAAGGACAGAGAGCTAGACACATCGATGAGAGAGAAACATTGACAGGCTGCCTCCTGCACACCCCCCACCGGGGATGTGCCCGCAACCAAGGTCCATGCCCTTGACCGGAATCGAACCTGGGACCTTTCAGTCCGCAGGCTGACGCTCTATCCACTGAGCCAAACCGGTTTCGGCTAGGATGTTCTTATAGAGGGGAAAAGGGGGTACTGGGGAAAGCTCCCTCTCCCCCCCTGCCTCCTCTGAATCTCTCAGGGTAGCTATTCTCCCAAAGGGGACAGACAGACGGGAGACACAGCCCATTCCAAAGGGTCTGGGGGGAATGGGGGAGAGGTGGGTGCACTTGGGTTTAGTGTCCTCACCCTCCTCTTCCAGCACCAAATCAAACCCCCTGTTCTCTCTCATCCAGCTCCTTCAAGATCGTCCTGTGACAGGAGCCACACAGCTGCTTTCCCAGCCGCCCGTACAGTGACCTTGACACTTGCCGAGCCTTGGCCAAGGTTACGCCTGTGTTGCCAGGGCTGGCCGAGCTGGCCCGGAGGAGCTGGCGCTGTGAAGCCTTGTCCCAGGCAGGGAAGGGCGCCCCCAAGCCAGTGCCTCGACGCCCCTTCTCACCGCCATTGTCACCACTCCGTTTCTACTCATCAGCAATAAAGTTTCAGACGTTTCGATCCTGTGTGTGATCCTGGAAATGCTGGCTAGGAGGAAGGGCTGGACTTCCAGGAGACTTCAGGGGCTGGCAAAGCTCCAGAGAAGGGACCAGCAGGCAGGCAGAGCGTGGCACGGAATAGGAGGGGGTCCGTGGGGCGAGTGGGGAGGACCTGCCGAATCCTGATTGAGGTGGTGGTGACATGAATTTCTACATGAACGTTATAGGGCCGTTTACCAAAAGAAAAAAAGAACTTACTGTAGCCTGGCCGGTGTGGCTCAGTGGTTGTGAGCATCAACCTATGAACCAGGAGGTCATGGGTTTGCTTTTTCTTTTTTTAATATGTTTTATTGATTTTTAAAAAAATATATATTTTATTGATTTTGTACAGAGGAAGGGAGAGAGATAGAGAGCTAGAAATATCGATGAGAGAGAGTCATCGATCAGCTGCCTCTTGCACACCCCCTACGGGGGATGTGCCCGCAACCAAGGTACATGCCCTTGACCGGAATCGAACCTGGGACCCTTCAGTCTGCAGACCAACGCTCTACCACTGAGCCAAACTGGTTTCGGCGGTGGTGACATGCATTTCTACGTGAACGTTATAGGGCCGTTTACCAAAAGAAAAAGGAACTTACTGTAGC